AGGTACATAAAAGAGAGGATATTAACAGAGCAAAAAATACCACGACTGCTGTCTCACTTTTTCAATTAGCGTTCATTTAGGTCAACATTTCATTGTTAAGGCATTGATTAGTAATTTCTCGGCAGCTTTTTTTATTTTATTTTCCGGTAGTTGTTTAAATGGGCGAAGAAAATACTGGTAGAATTATAACTGTGCCAATAATTCTGGCGTTTTTGTGTCTTGGTTGTTTTGCTTCATTCATAAATCGTGTGTTCACAAGTCAGCCAAGGCTGATTTATTAGGATTTTTCAGCCTTTCATGTTAGTAAAATGGCCTTTTAAAATCCAAGTATTGGTGGCTTATTTTTAAGCAAAATGGCTGCTCACTTAATGCAGTTACCTGAATCTGGGTTAAGGGTGAGAAGTGCGGCCTGGGTAATGTAAAATAGCGCTAAAATGAATTTAAATGTCTGTCGGTCTTTTGATTTTCTACGAATGACCACACAAAATCAGAACACAGTGAACAGCCAAAGAAAATCTCACGTACTGCGTACTTCTCATTAATTGAGGTATTGCTATCCTTTCGTAGCCATGGACTACATTTTCCTTCCAGTGCCTAGTCATGGTTTTCTGCTTTACAAAATGGACTTCAGGCCTTACCCCATACACCTCATTTCAATGTGGCCAATTTGCCATCATTGGGGAAGGTCTACATTATCTAAAGCTGGCTATAAATCTAACTTCTACATAGTTAGTCGATTGAATAGGGAATAACTTGATCTCCTACATGCTTAAATTTGGAATGCGAAATCCGTTTCTCATTACAAACCAGTCATTTGGTCAGCATGCAGTCTCAAATTTTTTTTTAAAAATGATATGAAAGATGGAAAAAAGACTAACAATTTTTTAAGGGTCTTACCATCCATCCCCTTGACACCCTCCAGCTGACCGAGGTGCATGTCATCGCACAATCTTTTTCTGAGCAAGTTAATTCACTTGAGAGTGACACAAAATTCCTTAAAGTCAAGATTAAAGCAGCTTCTTAAGTGCGATCTTGGAGTAAGTCACATCTTAAATAAAATCATTTCTGCTTTACTGCATGGATGGATGTAAACAATTACATACGAGCCAAAAGTGGATATTGAAGCAATCTATACCAAAGACTGAATGAACTCTTTGGTCATCTGACAGCACCTTGCTTGACTTCGCACTTTCATGCCTACCTACCTAACCTGCTTTCCTGTTTAGCTTACCGACTGTTGACTCGGTTCTCTCAAAGACCCTTAAACATCTCTAGAATTACCTTTTCTGCGCATGTAGTCATTTTAAGAATAAAATTTACGATTTTTTCCTCCATTTCAAGTTTATTATTTTAAGCCTGTTGATGATAAATTAGAGCAGTTTCCGTACTATATTAACACTATCTGATTGGGTATTTCACCAACTGAAAGCCTAAATAAAGCCAGGGTTTAGCAAAGTTAATCATCATTTCCTGCAGTTACTTCATTTTTATTATCACTCCCTGCCCTGGAGTGTGTAAAAGTGATTTTTAGTCAGCTAAACTTCTATCATCTCATAAAACAGCAGTCCCGTTGGTCTGATTGTAGTCATGACAACACAGGCGGTTAAGGTAATCAATTTGTCTGTAATTTGTGTAACAAGTTGGGTAACGAACATGATAACTTGTTGTCACCTTTTTTCAAAGAAAGCAAGCTAATTTACCGGGCTGCACTAAAACCAGGACTGGACACTTTTTGGCTGTTTCAGATATTGCTCAACAAAATAGGGGTAAGTGCCTTGTCGGGTGTCCTGGACTGATGAAGGGAACTTTTAAGTTATAGGCAGCTATCTAGCTCTAATAAATTACTTTTGGTATGTGATTATATTGCATTCAAAGGCTTTGACAAGGGCATTTTTAATGTGCAAGCGACAATCAGATGCTGTTTCTTGTACATGCTATACATTACATACACTTGCCTGCTGTCCACTTGAGCATAATGCCGAACACACCGTTTTTATGCTCCAGTAAATCTCACTTGCCATCCTGGGTCATTCTTCTCTCATAAATTACTTCCTTTCTTGATAACAACGATTTAATTAGTAGCTTAACAGCAGCATTTGGCCATACTCTGCCTGAGAAACACTACCTTTTAAAGTAGCTTTTGAGTAATTAAATTTTTGAAAAGACTGAGACTATGACTGGGTGATCTAAGATCGTGAAGCCAATCGAAGTGTGGCTTGTGTCAAATGGGCTTTTGTAAGCTTTACAATCCCCTAGCCAAAATCAATTTACATTTGGCATTTTTATCTCCTTTGATGTTTAGTTATAAACCTTACCCGTGCGCGTATTTCTCATTCACCAACTGAGCTTTTGTTTGCAGTCAGCCGTTATCTTGGCCTAAAATCTTAACAGCGTGCTAGACTCGTTATATGCTACATGCTCACTCACAGCCTTTGAATAGATAAATTCACTCCATAAACCCCCCTCTCGTCATCAACTACTCGCTTGCAAAGGATTTGGGTCACCTTTTTTCTAAGAAGAAATGCTCTCCTAACTGGCAAGTAGTATAGAACAGGAAACTGTGAACTTGGTATAAATGAATAGCCCATTAAATGGGAATTCTAAACACATGCTGTAAATGAAGTTACCAGAAGCTGATGTTTAAAAATACAAGCTCTCGTTTATGTCAAATTGGTTAATCATTTTAATTAGCTAAATCATAAAAGTCAGTATGATTCCTTTACCGATGCATAGGGTTTTGATATAACGGTACTTATAATTTTATCAAATAATTCCTAAACATTTTAGAACAGAACATAAATTGAAAAGTTGCCAAAATTTGTCACTGTGTACCAAAAACCTGTTTCAGCCAAATTTGTGGATCTTTTATTTCCTTTAGTTCCTTAGATCCATGGAATGCCAGGTTCAAACAAATTTATCAAATGAAACATTTAACCTGATAAATTTAAAAATTATAATCAAATCCAATGTTTCCTTAAAACCTTTTAAGATTATTTTAGGCAATTTTAATAAAACTGGCAAAATTATGACAATGAAAATGAAGGAAAATCTATAGTTCCTAATTACATAAGTGTTTACAAGAGCATGTGGCTTTTGGGGTCTTTGGATAATTGGTCCTTTTAGCCAAAAAAGGTACGATAGTATTGAGATTTTCCATGTTTTATCCATCATACATAGTTATAATGAAATCTCTTGCATTTTAACCATTGGCAACCTCTACACCAGCAAAATTCATGTCCTAGCTGATGATCATTCTCCGAATAATTATCACTTAGGTCGTTCGCCATGCAAGTACTTCTTGATACTTGACTACTCTTGACATCCCCTATCCACCTAGTTAAAGGAGCCGCAATGATTCTATGCATTCCGCTTCCTTGAAGGTACACAGTTCGTGCCTACCAGGAAGGTGAAGAATCGGTGAGTGAGTTGATCCTACCAGCGGCTTACTGGAGCTTTGGCATCTTCGGAAGCTACTCGTGCACAGCGGAGAATCGATTGGGCAAAGCAACCGGCTACGTTCGGCTAAAGCTGGCCACCCACCCTCAATGTCCAAACGTCACTGCTTGCACAGTAGGTTATATAGCCGAAAACTTTGAGAAGAAAGGGTAGTCAGACATAAGTAAAAGCTCTATTCGGTCACGCTTCTTAAGCAGGCAAAGTTTGCTTGAAGCGCTGTGCAGTAGAAATGGAATGACCCAAGCTGATATCCAGCTTGAAAAGACTGCGTAGGTATTCACTTACTCTAGTAATTGCCGCAAAAGCGCGACCTCTTGCTTCCCTTACATTTGGTAAATTGAGTAAAAACAGACTTAAAGCGGAGTACACAGTCAAAATTAGCCTGGGTTTTTATGTAGCTGTCGACAAAGTTGACTGCTAATTATAGAATTCAGGAAGTTGTGTATACGAGATGGATAAATCCACCAAGCATTACCATATTTCTTGGAGGTTATTGCATTTGAAAGCCACATTTCAACTTCACTGAGTGATACTTATTTCTTCCCAAGTATTGCATCAGGTATATTTCCAATGCCCCTATACGTAATAGCACCAAAAAGGTGCAAAGGTGAACTATGGATTGGTATAAGCAGATCATTTTTAACTTTGTACTGGTCCTTTCAAGCAAATCTCCACAAACAGGGCTTATTTTACTTCTGTGGTTCATTGTAAAATACGAGGTGAGTGATGAATTGAATCACTCTGCTACTCAGGAAATGAAGTATTATATGTGGGGTATTTTCAATCCATGAGGAAATGTGTTTTCCATGCATTAGGATTGCCAACCCTTGGAACTTCATTCAAAATTTATTTTCTGTAAGAATTATACTTTCTTTAAGAAATTTAAGGATGAAATATTAAGACCCCAAAAACGTGGCAATGTAAAACTCTATTCATGCAGGAAATTTCAGAGATAATATAACTAAAAGTCTAAATTTTGCGTCATTTTTATGTTTTGTTGTTATCATCAGATGTTCATTATTGGATGAAAGTTTTACCTTCCTTATTGTTCCGTAAGCCGTTGGTGACCTGGTTCCATTACAGTAGCCCTTGCATTGACGAATCTTGTACAAAAGGCTTGAATTTAATCCAAGGAGAGAGCACCCATCAATTGTGCCTAACTTTTGAAGTTAGTGGAGGTTTATTGTAAATAGTATACTTAATAGTTCTAAAAGGGGGCGCAATTAACCTTTGAACTTGCCAGACTATTGCAAAATCTGATAATTTTATAATGTTTACCAGTCTTTTCAAACAAATATTTATCAAAGAGCTGGTATTGCTGTATAAGTTTACATTTAGCTGTTTATTGAGGAATCACTGCTCAAACACTGTGCTACCTAGGAAATGAGGCAGCTAGAACTATCCTGCAGGAGGTGTGGAGTGTTTCCTCTCCATGAAAATTGTGTTACTTATGCGATGCAATTATCAGTCAGCGTACTTTAAGTAGAAATTTATTTTCTCTGAAATTTTGTACTTTCTTAAAATTTTATCAAGATCCTGAAAATGTGTTCATTTGAGTCCCTAGTAAACTCACACTCTCAAAGTTAGTGTGACAAAACTAAAACACCCTGTATTTTTATCCTGTGCGGTTACCAAAAGGTTCATTCCGGTTAAAAATCACACTTTTTGTCTCCTGCAAGCAGTTTGAAGTGTTACCTCAAGAAGATTTGATGTTAATAGTTTCCTTTTGGTTGAATTTTGTACGAAAGAGCCAAAATGAATGAATTTACTTAGTAGTTCTTTGAGCGGACTCCATTCCGACTCAGTGCATAGCATAAATAAGTTATTAGTCTACATGAGAAAGTTGTCCAGCGATTGATCCACATGATAAGGTGCTCAAAAGCAAAACCCTTTTATCACTTTCTAGGGGGGGGGGGGTATTGAGTAAAGTACTCGCTTAATTCAAGGGCACAGCGGAATACTTTTTCTCAAGAAATGTTCTTAATTTTCCATGTAATTAAGGGGAATTTGAAGTCAGTTTAAATATTAACATTTTAAATGCAATTAACTGAGTCAAATTAATCGGCAGGGCTATGGTCTAGTAGGTAGATGGTTGAATCCACAGTACAGAATGCATTTAAGGCATTATTAAGCCCACCATCTGACGTCCGGCACGCCGTGGCGGCGTGAAACGCATCTAGGGGCTCATCCCCGGGGAGATCTTTAATGTGCTCAAGGTCGTCTTTGGAGCTGAGCGCGAGGCGCAAGACCACCACTGCCATGTGCACATTTTATGCCTTCAAACTACAGGGTCATGAGCCCCACGGCTTCAGTGGCTAGGCCGCGTCATAGCCAATGGGTTAACAGATAAATAGGTTGTTGAATTTTAAAGTTTGATTGTTTTAAAGAAGTGGACTGTAGGCTGCTGTACTTTTGTTAGACCTCTTGAAACATGTTGCTAGTGTACTTGCAGAACAGAGTCGGCATCCAAAACTCCTGGATAGTCAGTCGAGCTGGGAGGAATTGTGCAATGTCAGATCATATTTATTCACTTTTTGTATAGTCACTTTCCATTTGCTTTTTTAAGCTACTTAGTTGCTAATTATTTGACCTTATTGAGCCTCAAAATTATTGCCTCGTAGTGGTGGAACTTGGGTTTGAGCGAAAGCGTGGTCCAATCTTGCAGTTGACTCTTTTGCGATCGGCTTCCAGAGCTTTTCATTGCCGTCTTGGCAACTGCTGCTGTCATGAAACACTGGGCCTAGAGTATGTTTGCCTATCGGTGGTGGAATTGGTTTTATGTGACTTGGTTTCTGCTGGTATCTCTTAGATCATGAAAAGATTCTCACTTGTTGACACATAAAAGAGCCCAAGAGTGCCCACTTGGTTTTTCTTTAGGCTGTTTTTCACAAGGATTTTTCGATATGAACAGCAGATATCTGGGTTTCTGTGAAGTTGTTTGCAGTTGCCTTTTTAGGTTTGAAAAATAAGACAATACTTCATATTTTACGGGCAAGTCTAAATACCTCCCAGACAAAGTGTGATGACGCACACTAATATACACATCTTCTGCTGACTTTTTCGTAAGATTTTTTAAACTAAAAAAAGCATTTAATATTAGAATAGTCTGTAAGGAGAAAGTTAATACCAAAGTTGTCAGAGTCACTCAGACACGTTGGGCAAAGGTTCAGTCAGTGGTCAAGAAATCTTTTCTTCAAAGAAAAGCTAATTATCGTCTTTGCGGTCAAAGATCAAAAGAAGGACTGCCTAATGAACTCAGTCAATAATGGAATGAGTAGTATAAGGTGCCGCTTGGCCTTTCCACCTACCGAGTGTAGTGTTAACATCTTCACAATCCGAATGATGAGAGTGTCCACTTTTAGCAGTAATTCATTATTTTGGATCCTAACTTGAATCACATAACTACATTTAATGTGACAAAAATAGGTTGTTGCCAATTGTGCTACAAAGTGTGCATTAGTTTGGCTAATAATAACTTTGTATTTTGTCCATTTGTGTACTTCAGTCACAGTAGATTGTACTTCCATCCCTTGGCATGTTTCGCCTCTAATACATGCTAATAGTTTCCCAGAAATGTTAATCATTACAGAAAGAGGAATCTTGGCAACCAATTCGACCCGCCTCTCAAAATGACTAAGATAGGCACCACTCTAGCTGGAGGCGCATTCAATAAAGGAAAATGTTTACTGTTGGCTAAGCTTATTGTGGCCGAAGTACTGCGACAGACATTCAACAGATCGTAATAATTTGGATGGTATGGAGAAAAAAATGTCAAGAAAGCAGAGAAAGTGTGGAAAGCTTTTGACATGACCCTAAGGTCCTACCGCTGAGTGGAACTACAACCTGCGGGACTTGAAGTATCCATGTGGTTTAACATAGAGTTAAAGGCAATATTAAATCCTCATATTGCAAAATTTTATACCCTTAAACTCACAGCATCGTCCATTTAGCAATCCAATCTAGTATCACGCATAAAATTCTTCCACTTTTGTGCTTTACTTATAGCAGACTGCTAGGGACAGTATCTTAAATATTTCTAACTGTCCAGGATCCCGCTGCTTGTAATTACCTTTTAGTGATGAGAGTACAAAAATTAGGACTTTTTAAACAAGGACAACTCATTTTTTTCAGAAAAAAGCCCTATAAATGACCACACGCTACTTAAAGTGAGTTTGAGTAGTTTACCTTAAGATTTGTTTGGACCAAAGAGGGCATTTCCAAGTATTATCCTTCGTGCGGGTTTAATGAAGAAGCAATTAAATTTCATGGCTCTCTTTGCTTTTTTCTGTGTGACCCTCACAAGGATTATGGTCAAAATTGGCGGTTTGATTTCCAGAAAAGTGAAGTGTATCTTTTACAGCTTCTTGTCCATCAGAAGTAAATCACAAATCCAACAATATGTTCCTCAGATCTAGCTAAAAATCTCCTCCAGTAACGTAAAGTTCTGATTTATTTTTTGCTTCTTTTTCAAGAAAAAAACATAAACATAATAAATTTTAGGACTTGAATCGCCTTAGCATGTTAGTGGCAAGATGTTGGCAAGTTTATATTCTTCAGCAAATATTGCAGTTTCGAATAATTTAGGACTTTCTAATTAGAAGCCAGAAACTAATTTTTTTATAGTTGGCGCCACTTTTATTAAAATCAATTAAAATTTCTCAGATTCAAAACTGTTCTTTGAGTTAAAATCCTTTGTTAGGGAATAATTACCCATCGGCGCAACGTTTGGGATTCTATGAAGAAGCTATTTTCTTCCATCTATCCAGGTTTTTCCTCTGCTTCTTCTTAGTAGCGTTTCCTCGTTTTAGATCAAGTTTCAGATACGCATTTGGAAATTGGAAATGTTCTAATTTTGTCCCACATTGGCTTCAACTCTCCTCTGACGTTATTTTACAGTTCTTTAAAGTGACCATACGATTTAAGAAATCTTATAATCAACCAGGTTTAGTTATTAAATTGCCTCACTATGCATATTGCTGGAGGTATTTAGGCATCAAAATGCCTCCGGTCATGCTGTTCATTTGAAAGCACCGCCTTTTATGTCTCTGGCACAGTCTGAGTGGAAAGTTGCAAGGTTACATCCAATTTTTCGTCCAAGTAAGTGCCTGGAATTTTTAAACTTCCCGCTCACTTGGTCTGATGAAAATAACCAAATCACCACTAAGTTGTAAACTAACAACATTTGCGCATTTTTTACCAAAGAATTGTCATGATATCTTAGGCCTCTAATTGCTGTCCATGTAATGCCCAAATCAATTGTATTTTTGCATGTTTATGAGCTTTTGGGAATTGGAATGTTTATGTTTTCTTCATTTACAATGCGCTGTATGTAGGAAGTTCCTAATTAAGTTTCCCACAGTGGTTGCACAACCCTCAGATTTATGTAAAGCTCTTCCTTCGTTAAAATATTTTAGATTTCTTGCGGTTTTCTGTTAAAAGATTTGCAAAATTTGGCTTAAAAGTAGTGGACGAAGAAGCGCCTTGTATGCTTAACTTACTCTAAGGTGCTCTTGTAGACGGTCTTACTGATTACTTGGTAAATCTTTCTTCAAAGGTTGACACTTGCTCCTTTATGAAAACATAAATGACAACATCTTGGGTAATTACGTTGAGGTTATTTAACAGCATTTTCTATTATTTGTAATTTATGGTTTGCAGACTGCCCTGCATAAGTGAGATGTTCCATCTAGCCTCCCTTGAGTCCCATAGGTGAAATGTATTTACTCTTGGCAAGGGAGCTAAATGATAAGTGCTTTTGATCTCCATTTGCTCTGCTTTACTCACATAAAAGGTTCCCTCTACAAATAAAAATACAAAAATTCTCTGCATTCTGATGTCAATTCCTGCTGAAAAAGGAAACGTGCACCTGGTTTTTGTTACTCAAATCACTAGGTCAGATATGTGACCTTAATGCAAGGTCATTTGGCCAAAAATAGAACGATCTATCATAAAACACGAAATTTAACATTTATTTTAACAGTGAATTTCCTAGCCACCATTCAGTGAGTTCTTGTCAAGGGGTTGAAATTTTTAGTCAAATGAGCGCTTCACATTGCTCATATGAATAAGTAATTTTTTATTACGTTAATTTCAACTCAAATTCTAATGATTTGATTAGGGCGTATCCGCTTAATTGCCATCTTTCCACTTTTCTCACTTCACTTTTAATTCAAAATAAGTGACTTTTTGGCTACTTATTTATGCCTCAAATGTGACTACATTACCATAACGAAACGAGTTTCCCATCCATCCCAACACACCGTGATTACTCTCAACTTTTGAAGGTTCTCAGTTAGGATGATTTAGAAATAGCTTTCAGAAGTGTCTTCAATTCGTGGTGCCAATGAGAGTACTTTTGTCACAACTTCACTTCCTGATGTTACTTGTTCCTCTACAGGAAATTTTTACCTTGCTCAAGGTATCCCAATTCATCGCGACATATAAGTTTAACGGAATATCCGTGTTGCTTTTAGGAGATTTCGTCAATTTTCAACAAAGCAGACTTCTAGCTACATTTTTAAACAGGTCATGATGGGGATTGAATGCCAAGATGTTTCACGACAGGCTCCACCGTGCAAACAAAAAACCAAGGCATAGTTATCACGGTTACAAAGCTGCCCTTTCCTAAATTTAGAAGGCTTGCAAAATGGACAATGGGCTAATTTTTGTAGACCAATGGCCTGTTCCTATAAAAGGTTGCTTTTGAATTGTAAAATACCTCAGGACAATTTCTTCTCAACAAATAGGAGACTTAGGTGGGTGTTTACGAACAGTCATAAAAGTAATGCGACTAAATTGTATCATTTCAAAGCAGCAGTTTTTATATATCAAAGGGAGTTTGTCGAACGATGCCGTTTAAAAGTTGTCAAAGTATTTTTGCATCTAAAAATGTTTTGAAGGATCGCAGCGACCTTTTAAATTCAAAATTGATATTCCTGTGCTATTACAATACTTATTTATTTGTGTCCTCTTAATTTGGAAAACTAAGCATTTATAAGACCTACAACAAGCTTTATCCGATCTGGTAAAGTAAGTAGGATTTCTCAAAATGACAGTAAGTCCGGAAAAAGAGCATTGTTGATGCTGAATCTTGCAAAGTGATTTTCGCGCTCATCAGGTATGCCCTAAGTGCTGTGTTAAACAACACAAGGTGCGTTTTCTTTATTTTCTGTGGGTGTTGAAGAAACTCAACATTTTGCAGGCTTTCTTTATGCAAATCGGAACCGGATTGGGCATTTTAAAGGTACCGACTCCATGGGGGACAACACTGAGTGATGTATTGGAGACGCTCCCAATTGCTGTGGCAGGCGCTAAGATAGCGGTGACATTCATGCTTGAATAATTTTTACTTTCGACTAAAGACTGTGTTGTTTAGCTTAAATCCAGGTTCCCTCTAAAAGTGAGTTAACTCTTGGGCATAACACTTCCTCATTTGGTTTCTCCATTAAGTGATTGGTGTCCAAGTGGCTGTATTTATTCAATTTCTGAGGGATTTTATTTGAAAATACAGTCATTAATATGTCACCACCTTTTCTCCACTTCAGCCTAAATCAAAAACCTTACCTCTATAATAAATATCCAGGTGGAGGCTACACTAGTAGAATTGTGCGTCATTCCGCCGAAGGAGACGGGGGGACTACCGCTGACTCACTACGAACTGCGCATCCAGCCGTCACCAAATGAGCGTTTTCACGGTCCTTTCGCTTATCTGCCAGGTCGAAGAGTCGTTCGATTACCGGATCTCACACCGAATCACTTCTACAAATTCGCCTTGTCCGCTGTAACCTCTGCGGGTCGTGGGCCGAATACGTACATCCAGGTTTGCCCTTTAGAGCAACCTTTTAAGAACTTTAATTAAGGTCGATTGGACGACAGCAATTTAAGAGACTATAAGCAACTTGTGCCTGACAGTTGTTAAAAATTAATCACTCCTTCCAATTTTGATTTTCCTAAAAAATATCTATTTAGAATCGTTTACCCATCATTGTCACTCCACTTTTAATCATTATGTTCAACTCGGTCGAAGAGAAGGAGCACTAGTAGTGTTTCGTTTTTTTTGTAAGTAATTGCACCCACACTTTCTTTACATCTTAGAAGAATATATAAAAGGATTTTTTATAATAAGCATAGACTTTACTCGGTGGCCTAGTTATTTTCCCTTGAGACATGGTATATGGTAGATCATTGAAAGCTTTAGTAATTTAATAAAAGCAATTTGGACTAAGGAAGTTCCTCTGTTCTGATAGAAGAGGGCAATTTTCAATAAAAAATTAAAAACATTGTTTTATTTAATATCCCTTTAATCGGCTTTTTGTAATTAGCAAAGTTACCTCCAGACTCACTTTAGTTTAACACAAAAGGCTTTCAAATATTTTGCCAAATTTTTGATGTCACATCTATCAAAGGACTGTTACTTAGATATCTCTAAATTTATAGAGTTTAATAAAAGTTTTGAAATAAACTTATTTGTCTAGTTGTAGATTGCTTAATGCTGCATCACGCTGTCAACTAGATGCACTATTCTCATTTTGTAATTTCTTGATTGACAACAATCGTATTTATGGCAGCAGTCAGTGCATTATTAATTGACCAAAGCACCAGCAAATGTTTTTTGACAAATGAAGGACACTGATTTTAGAAAATAGACAAAAATTTTGAGTGGTATTGGGGAAATAGTGGTAAGGAGGCAATAATTTGCTTTATATCTTGTTAATGAATCAGAAAACATAGCCATAAATACCACCAAATATTTAGTTCTTCTGGGATGTACTTTTCTTTCGAGTTATTTAACCCCTCCCATTGTTTTGGAGGTCGAGACTAGAAAAATTGGTGTACCAAAGTTGAAGTTAATTGCAACAAACTCGGATGTGACCTCGTCAGACTACTTGGTGCGGTGGATTCTTGAATCGGATGGTGGATCTCCGGTCATCATGTACAAAATTAAAATTCGCCCAGTTGAGGCCTCTTGGGGACCAGGTTAGTCGGTAAATTCTGGTTACATTTGATCACCCATCCCTTATTCCCTAAATTAAGGATTATTTCGAAAGTTGGGTAAATTATGAATATACCAGATATGTGTACCTACAAAAAGTTATTTAGGCCAGCACAATAATTAACTTCTACCTCTTATAAATATGCTTCTTTCCGAGATATTATTTCATGTGTGGGTAGAAAAGGACATCACACGAAGAATGTTTATTAATTTATGGCATAGAAGACAGTCAGAAGGATTTCACTCACCATTTTTTTGCAACTGAAAAATCATGCGCTTATTTTTGCATAAAACTGGGATACCACAACAACCATAAGAGTTATCTTCATTTTTGACATGCATTGTTGGTGAAGTTATGTCGCCCCTACTTTCTTAAGTCAACTTCTGAGATTTCAAAGACCAGTTAGGTTGTTAGAGATTGTGTTTGTGTTAGATTGTAGGGGTCTTGTAACTACTTGCAAAGGACTAATATTAACTTTCGTTTTTAATGATGATCATGTTGGGCAACTTGATTAGTCTGTTTTTGGTCATTTCAGGGTCCTCCTTAACGAACATTTGACTTAGAGATGGGCTTTATACTTACAAACGAACGTTAGATCTTTCATATTTTCCTATGAACTGTATGAACGTCTGGACTTAAAAGTATTCATCTGTACTTATTTATTTCCCTTCTAGGATCCAGTGATAGCTGTAGAAGTATCCTCTGCTCAATCATTTAATTTTATCTCAATAAAGAAGTAAAATTTATAATGGGATAAACCTTAAATATGTTGTATTTCCAGTATATCCATAAACAAAGCAGTGAACTATTTGATAAAATGTTGCCAGCCTTAAGTGAGCTTCAAGCAATAAGTGAACACATTTGTCATGGCGATCTTTAAGGTAAACATAAATGAACCTTTGATGAGGTGGCCGCACCCGTAGGTTACCCTCTCAGCAACGCTTTAGTTGTAAGATTCAGGCCTTTGAGATTAAAAATATAGAGGGAAGTATGCTTGCGTGCGTCCATATTTAGTCTTACTTTAGAGTTAGATAAGACCCTTGCTGCGCGATTCATTCAATCCACCATTTAATTGCCAGAGATATTGCTTACTTCGTGCTTGTTTGCGCTCGTCGACGTCACTTTTTTACCGCAACGAAGAATATTTCCAGCAGAAGCCTAAGTATCTTCTTTGGCTTAAAAAAGGAAATGTCAATAAACGGTGGACACAAACCCACAACCACTGTGTTAGTGGCTAGGGTTGTGGTTCAACTTTATGCTGTTTGTTAATTTCTTTGGGAGCTAGAGTTTGTTCATAAAATCAAACAAATTTGTTATTTTCATAGGTTGAAAAAACAGAAAAATATGTTAAAGTGGAGGGAGCTTAAGACTGCCTTCAACGAATCACTTCACGCAAACAAACAATAACTTTTGTAAAGTATGGTACACTCTTGACCTCCCGATCTCACCATAAATACCAATGCAAATTCAGGAGAAGCAAAAACAATTTTTGGGTTACTTTTTAAAGGGTTGGGAAATTTTTAAAAAATTTTTGAAGGTTGCTTCCATGAGGTTTGAGGTAAGTTGGTAATCTTCCTGGAATACTCCATGGTCTCATTGGTCATTCCAATGTAAACACACTTCAGTGTCAGTGCAATTAGGGATATCAATTACTTTTTATTTCTTCCATGCTGTAATAAACTTAATTAATGTGGTTACCAGGAGGATTTGTGCTTAAAAGTGTTTACTTTATGCATGGTTGGAAAAAATTTGCCGAGGCCGATGTCATTCCGTAATGTCCCTATTGTTATCCAAGTCTTTCACATATCATCTACACATATCTACCAAGTTGCGAGAAGTTAAATATCCATAGTTATTAGGCGGCTAGTGCTTTGAATGCGCTTTTGTCTTGTTAAACTGTTCCAAAGACTAGTCTATCTCAAACGACTACAACTTTGTAGTTTATTGTAAGGTAACCGTAGGTTACTTTTGTTGCAAAACGGAGGATGTTTCTGCGTGTGAACAATAAAAGGTGGGCGATTTTATTCACTCCTTTAGTTGTGTAGTTGATCTTGAAGTACAATTACTACCCACTATCAGGTGCTTTTTGAAGTTCGCATCAATAAATCACGCTTTTGGGGACTAAGCATTATTTCATCATTGCATTTTAACATAAACATGGGCTGGAAAAGGGTGACATGTTTGATTGGCCGACCAAGAAATGAAGCAGAGAAGCCTATCGTCACATGACTAGCCTTTAGTATCTTAGTTGATTGTCACTAACTTACGGCCCCATAAACATAGAGGTTTTTACGGATCGAGTAAAACATGGCATTTTGTCTTCACGCCTCAATAATCCGTGGATCGGAGTTAATGCCGAGACAAGAATTATTGATAGGAATCAACTTCACCTGCAAATATTTGTAGCATATTTACAAGTCCTGGACTTGTGGAGAGCTTGTGAATGGCCCATAGCAAAGACAAACATTCATGGTTGATGATTGCGAGGTAATGCTTGGATTGGAAAAATCTGGGCAGATTTAAATGACAGGGTAAATTAATTTCTATTTTACAGGTGCAAATTATTCGTCCATTTGACAAATCCTCTTGATTGTGAACGAGAAACTGTGGATGACAGTTCCTACTTTGAGGTGTCTTTCGCCCCGACTAACCGATTTCTCTAGAGGATATGAGCTTAAGTTCTGTGCAGGATGAAAGATGAGTTTCCTCTTAATTTCTACTTACTGTCAGGATGAATAATTGTCCCAACTTTATCCACACACTTTACTTGAATGTCGCAAGTCAATAAAGCTGTAGTTTTAAGTGGTCTATTTGGAGGTTCGTTATCCTTCGCGATGTGGCAGATTTAATGAATGGTTGAGTTACTGATTAAATTGATGTATGGTAGACCTGTTAACCATGAGGAAATCGCGTTTGGTGTCTGAAAATGACTAGAGCAAATGACAATTTCCCTAGCTTTGTATGATGCTGGGATTTCATAAAATGATCCAAAAGCTTCCACTTAGGTGGATAGAGAATAAACTACTCTCGAAATCCACCTTTTGAAATTTGTCTACTAAACAAATTCTTTAAGCTTAAAATACTTGCAAACGTATTGCTTAAGGTGACCTTTGCCCTTTCATTAAATATTTAAGATTCCTTGAAACTTTTTTACAAACTTGAAAAATAGAGAAAATAATAGGTCATGCTTAAGATACATATAATTTAGAATTCTCAAAAATAATGTTTTTAACTCAAAAGACATGACGCTGTTTTAATAAAAGACTAACAAATTTCCGCTGTAATTCAGTAACGCTTCAGTGTTCTGGTTAGTCTCCTTGAAGGTGGATTTCTGACACAGGCCTTTTAGTTCGCTTCTGACTGACGTCGGACTACTTGACTGGAGGGCTGATGGGCGCCATCATTCCCCTTTTCAAAGAATCGGATGGCAGTAAAACGCTTTAATCCTTCCACATTCCCATCAATAGTCATTTTTATGGATGAATCTACATTTGTTCCGAATAGGCTTCTAGTGAATAATGAATGGGAGTACTATTTGTACCTTCATCATTCCCACTCGGAGATCGTGGAAATTACTATCTATAGGTGAAGGGTTAGAGATATAGGTCGAGAAGATCATTTCCTTTGAAAACCCCACGTGCACTTTTGGAGGAGGAAAGAGTTCATTTAAGCCTCACGATTTCTGACACAGTGTGAAGTCCTTGAATGTGATCCTCTACATTTCCACAATAACTGCTGTCAAAGTGTCCATTTCATGCCACTGAGTAGATGAATAGATTGTGTGGAGGGTTTTCAGTCTTGACCACAAAGTAGTAGCGGACTTGCCCATTCTTTCTGATGCCATGGGTTTCTTAATGATATAGCGTACACAGAACCTATTCTCTACCCATTTGGGAGAATAGTATCAAAATAAGAAATATTTAAGCGGTTCAGGTTACACTAAACGCTCAGGATTAGCCGCGCGGAGCAACTCGTTCATCCAGAATACTAACTCACAAGTCTTTTGGTATTAGCAGTTGGCAGTAGCTAAAATTGTTGGGTGTTGTGGACCTCCCTGTCTGATTAACACTGAGGCGCCTCCGTTCACTGTCATCAATGATCATTTTACGGAAAGGCCTAGGCTTTATTCAACATTTCCTACAATTTGGTAATTATATAAATTTTTGCCTTCCCCATCTTATTTCCCATATAACAGTCTTTGAAACATGTACCACCTATATGAGAAATAGGAATGTGCTTTGCTCTTTCATCAGAGATGCAATTTTGACTTCTTTAAAGCTGGGGTTCCCCTCAGTGCAGTGGTTTTGAAGTCTCTCTCAACCACAAGCCTTTATTCCTCTTCATTTCCTCCTCGCATATTTTCATCACTTAGATTCGTACGCTGAGGTGTTAAATTGAACTATTAATGAATAAAAAACAAGAAGATGGCTCTCAAATTCTCCTACACCCCTTTTGAAATGCAGAGGTTTCAGTAAAGAAGTGATCATTGATCACGAAAAGAATAAAATTTCTTCGCCATTTCATTCATTACATCTACCGTTTACTGAGTTCTTAACATATAAAAATTTTCGGCTACATTTTTAGCGTAAAATTAGACCCCTCGTTTTCAAAGAGCATCTCCTCACAATTCTTTGATGTTTTAATTGTTCCAAAACATCTGAAAGTGTCTTTCGGTGATAGATGCCCTAAAATAGTCATTTAGCCATTAAATACGGCAGCAATAGTTAAAATGTTAAAATTTGCCATTGCATATCACTATGCTTACTCTTTCAGTGCCAAATTATCTTAATTTAGGTGGCTGAGATCTTTAGGACACCTCCGCTTTATTCGTCACTTTGTGGGAAGCTATATTTTATCTCTTTTAAGAAGAGAGAGGAATCAACAAATCACATTAATTACACGCTTTTACGGTTAGAGCCCAAAAAGTTTATGGCGCCGAAGTTATAGTATCGCCTGTACCGGCATTTATAAAATCTTTTTTAGATAGTCTAAATATATACGGTAAAGCTCTTTAGATCTAGTTGGTGGGGTAGGTGCAAAGTAAAGGCCACCTTAGTTGGCTCTGTGGTAATCGGGCGGATTTCTCGAAGAAGGTTGCGGCCTGATTTGTGAAAAGTGATCCATCCCTATTTGCAGCTAATTGAATCCTGTAGGTGGAAAGCCATCAGCGGTTCTTTTCTACTCCAACTCGACAAGTCTTCTTTTGATAGAGGCGCTATAAAGTTAAATCTTAGTGTTAGAAAATGATAAGCATGAGGAAGCTTAATGCATTGTTGCAGAATTTCGCCCCTGTTTTAGTTTTAAAGTTAAGAATGACATACGGGTTACTTTTCCGCCTCTTTATCTCTTTTGATAAAAGTTTTGTTTGTTATTTGGTTGGAAACTCAAGAGGAGGGAGCATTTAATTAATCTTTACAAAAGTTTTTAAATGCAATTAAGGACGAATCTTACACCAATTAAATCCTCTTTCAATTGATAAAGGGTACTGGTGATCCACTCTAAGCAACGCATTTTTTTAGGCATTTATCTAATTGATGGGTTCTAAGTCCTAATGATCATACTATATTTGCCACTTTGAATGGAATGACACTTGCTTTATTTTTAAACAGATTCTGAACTGCTTGAAAACCCTTATAGTTCCTTAAACTTTCAAGCTTGATTGTTAATAAAGTTATTCAACATATTACCATGATCAAAATATCGTTCTACTTCCTAATTAAACGCTACTGAATTACTCACTTAGTAGCATGGAGCCTGGTGTTCATTTGCTTGACATGATGCAAGAAGTTGACGAAGATGTTTTCCATTCTTTTGTGCTCATTAGCTGTTTTCATAGCATAATCATTTTTTTAAGAAGTTGGGTAAAAAAGAAAAGAGGAGGGTTTAAGAATTAAAAGAGTGATAGACAAACCTGTCTATTATAGATGACGTAAAATTGATAAGCCAATAAATAAAATCGCCCTTATGACGACTTTGAGTGGTCTATGACCAAATGTATGATATGTTGTTACCGGTGTTTTACATCCATTTGGCTTTTAGGGGGAAATGTTATCCAAAAGTAACTTTAAAGGAATGCTTTCAGTGTCATCAAGCCAGGATTGTAAGCAATCACCCTTTTACCAACATTGGGACCAACACCCTGTAAATAACTGATAGATCTCAAGTACTGACTATTTTGCAAACGTTCACTCAGAGCTCCTCTCTAAAGCTCATCTATTGTGAGCCTACACAGTGGATGCCTTCACTCTGGGCTGCTTTTATGTGGCATCCGATCCGTGAAAAATGTGTATGGTGCCACCAGTTCAGCATCACATAGTTCCTAGCTAACTCCAAAATCCCAAAGTTGCTTTGTTATTGACCTAAAGAGGGCTTAATGACTTCGGTATGTTTCCATGACATCAGAGTGGTGGCATTACTCTGGTAAATGACGTGCATTTATATATCTGTAATCTGGCCTTACATTTTCTTTCTTTTCACCACAGTACAAAAGCATTTAACACCGTTGGGTTCTTGGACAGTCTTTGACGTGCTGTCTCAAGATGCAGACAGAAGAACGCGTCATGGAGTGGAGGGGATGTACCGGATCAAAAGCCTTCAACCGGGCACTTCTTACGAAGTCAATCTGGTTGGTCAGAACTCCGTGGGCCAATCAAATCCCTACGTGGTGGTGCTCCAGACCTCAGAGTTGATTGGGACCTCGGGGAGGCTCCTAGGCGAGCCGATAAGTCAGTACTTTCATGGTGATAGTGTCAGACGTGTTGCATATAATTTAGTACTATTGGCCGCCCTTTTGATCGGGCAGCACCACTTGCTGCTTTGAGGTCATGACACCCTTCCAACCACTTCGGATTCCATGACCGCCAATTCTCATCCTGTGATATATTCTGACCCACATCCCCCGATATGAGTTAGCGTTTATTTTGATGTTGTTAATACTATCGTGATAGCTGACGCTTGACATCGCTTACTTCTACCATACTGTACTATTCCATTTTGTATTGATGTTGTGTTACTACCCTGTGCTACTAATTGTCAATTTCCTTTCCCTATTTTTGAAGTTTAAAACACTATTTTGAGGAAATATAAAACTAGCCTGTTCCATTTATGTTTGCTAAGTGGTATTTAGTTGTATGTGGGAAAATAATAGATTTGAGAGTAATACATTTTCACAATTTCCCTGATTTCCCCCATTAAAACTCGGAGCAGACTTTCCTCCACGCATGAATTACAAATAAAGCATTCGGTTGCCACAAAATACAAATAGAGGAACAGTCGATGCACAAAGATTCCTTCACAAATGTATCAAAACATAAGTGAAAACCGTGTGGAATTTGCGTTTGGGTTCATGAATTCTAGCTGTCACAATGATGTTGTTCTGCTACCGTCATTTGCGAAGAACTGCAACCCCTCAAGTCTTCCTTGAAGCTGTAGGAGGTTATATGAAAATGATAGAAAACGTGTAACTGCCGAGAGGGAATACAATCTGTGAAGACTTCACTGTCCGCGTAATCAAATTCAGGGTACAACTATCAAAGCATTAGAGTAACACTTTGATTTTGTTAGTTAGTAGTGCAGCGATTTGATATTCCATTTAGCTGTAGGTTCAAATATATGGGCATATCTCTTCCCGCAGTCTGTACATTCCTTCAGCCGCATGGTCTGCGAGCCATGCCTGAAGTGTAATAAGATGGCGGTTTATCCCTCGGTTTTGGCGAGGCGCCACTTTTGAACTTTTAAATTTGCCCTCTTGCACCTCGATGGGTGGGCTGGCCTTGGGGCCATGCCAGAAGCTTAAACACCTTCTATGTGCTGAATATATATTCTGCCCAAATATTGTGTCTTCTTTCGTCTTCATGAAGTCTACCATCTCTTCTGTAGGTTAGAAGCATACACTTCCAAGAAACCTTGGCCACTTGCAACTTCAGCAAAGACTCGGAACCCAACCACTAAGAATCCAAGGTGAGCCTTATCGGTATTCCCAAGATATGTCAAATATCTAAACAACATCAATCAAAAATATACTAAACCTTTGAGGAAATGTACCCAACTGCGTTAAGCGACATAATTTTTCTATTACAAGTCGTGTATGGTGCCATAAAAGGTAATTGAATTTCTTTTTGCATGTGTTAGTTATTCTAGATGTTTACGAGTACATTATAGCACAGAAAAAAAATTATACATTTCAGGATGTTCTTGATAAGAGTTAATTCTCCTTCATCCTGAGAAAAATTTTCTCTTACACCTTGGTCATTCGGTAAAGACAGATTGTTTTTAATATTTGTCAAGAATGGATGCAATTAGTTCCTTTTTCTGTGAAATATTAACAAGAATTTTAAACCTAACGCTCCCATAGTATTCTCGTGCTTCTGATTGGTCAGATGTGTGCTTTGTGTTTGTCGCTGGCTGGGGATGTTGAGATTGGTCTCGAGATGCATCTTAACGAATTCGAAGTTCGCAGCAAACGAGAGCTTGGGGCGAACAGTAACTGATACGCACTCATTGTCAGTTTTAGTATTACTCTACGGTGCCAACGTCGCCTCCTACAGGTGAAAGCTCTAGAAGTGGTGTAATCTCGGCTTCCATCGAGTTTTATTTACGAAGTTATCAGTCTTATGGTTAGCCTATTCCATAACTTGATAACTCCCACAGAAAATATGTTGGAGGAGGAGAGAGCGAAATATGAAAATGGCAAGAAGTTTCTGGCACGGCTAATGGGACAGGATCCGTCAACATTCAATCAGGAACAAATTGACGAAGCTATTCGTTATCTTTTTCCCTCTGGCCTTCAATCTAGAAAAGCTCATCCGAAGCTTAAGGTGCCATTTTATTGTCCCTTTACCATCCTTGTTTAGCCTCCAGAAGAGGTTTATCCAGAGAAGAAAAGTCCGTTCTCCCCAATTTTTGATCTTGTTTTTAGAAATTCAGTTTGATAAAACTGGCAGACCGTTTCATGATCTCTTCTACACAGGCAAACCGGCGTATTATGAAGTTATGCACGTAGGCAACCTGCTGCTTGCAATTTTCTTTTTTATGTACAGAAAGCAACTGCCCTAATTGAAGAGCTAAATGGCAAATTTGATCGAGGCTACATTGATCGCGATTACACGGCTTTTAAAAATCCGAGACCTTTGTAAGTAGAATTTCTTCAAAAATTTTTCTGTCTAGAGTCGTGGCGGCTAGTGAATGGTTCACAAAAGATCAGCTAAGTCGGAAGTTGCTGGAACCCGTCACTGACACCATGGTAAACATACGTTCCGTTTATCCTTATTGACTTTTCTAGTATGAGGACTGGTTGAGACTGATGAATGCTCTCCTGAAGCATCCTCTAGCTTGGCATGCTGAAAGCTTCATCCATTCGTACCGCGCTTCTGTTCAAGAAGCGGTCTCGAAAGAAGTTTTTCCTGAAGTAGGATCTTGTCATTACATCACTCCTCTATTGTATTCCTCTCTTTCTCCCTTAAGTATTACTATTTTTTAGCCCCAGGTCGATCCCGAAACAAACTACCGATACGTTGACACCTACGGCCAGAAGAAGCACGCCTTTGTGGAGTTAAGAATGACCCATCCAGGTGCAGGAAAATTCATTATTAATGACAAACGACTTCTCGAATTCTTTCCTCACCTTGGTGATCGCGAGCAAATCATGTTTCCACTACAATACACCGGTAAGTTAGTAAATAGGGGCCTGTTTCATGGAAAACATACAACTTTGCTAGTTTATTGTTTTGTTGTTACCAGTTTTTTGTTTTTGATCAATCTTTCGTGATAGTAGATGAGCTCCTTATTTTTGTCAAATTTCCCGGATAACTTTACAGGTTTTTCATGAGTCTATTTGCTTCCCTTGAACCCCATGTCTTAGAGTGTTCATAGTGAGTGTATTTTAAAGTAGGGCCCTCATAAAACATCTTTTCTGACCACCATTAAAAGATTAGTTTCTATTTTCACTTAAATTGGTTATTGAGACAGAAGTTCGTCCTCTAGAGCAAGTGAGATTGTGTTATCTTTGTATAAGAGGTGGCATAATAACTCATTACCTTTAGCGTTTAAAACTGCCATTTCCGGATGAGTGGTTCTTTACTGAAGCGTTGATGATTGTTATAGGCTCGGGAATTTATTGACATTGCAAAAGTGGCCTCGGAAGTTTCATATCCGATTTCCGTCTTCCTCACTTCCTCCTCCACAACATTCTTTATTGTTTCGATGCTATGTGTCAGTTGGGATACAGTTTGCTCCTCTTCTCAAATGATTTTCTCAAAAAAATTCTAACGTGTTCCTTGAAGATTATGCAAAATGTCCATACGAGTATTTTTTTTGTGAAGTGGGTTGAGCTCCGAATTTGGACTATTCTGGACCCTTTTTTAAGGACAAATTTGTGAAAGCACAGCTGTATGCTAGCGTCGAGACATTATTCTGCATGACCACTACTTGACCTAAAGTAAGTGGATTGGTGTTGTGTTCCTTAGACGTTCCTGGTGTTTTGATTGCGTATTTACATTGTAGTCTGATTATATAGCAAGAGTAATAGTTCTGCGGCCCTAGACTACTAAACTAGAAGCGGGAGTGATGTGACCACTGTATCTTTGTGCTCTGCTCAGGTAGACCATCAGTAGATACCCTGCAACAGTCCTCAATTTCCTTTAATCCGAGGTACAAATTCGCTACTGTGTAACGGCCCCTCGGTACCAATGCCCGTAGAATGCTTCTCGTACACCTGATAATCTACTTACCTTGAATGGCACTTGAATAGCTACCTGTTCTTCCTGCAAAGGCATGCTAGGCGCAGTGGACGTGGTGGCGCGAGTATCTTCGGACACCGAGACTGGTCACAGTTCGAAAGCGAACGCACTGCGATTAGCCTTAGCGCGGGCACTGGCCTGCTTCCTTCCTGGTGACTCCGGTCACAATCGACTGCGCGCGGCAGGCCTGCTGACCCAGGACGACCGCTTCAGCGAACGCAAGAAGCCAGGACAGAAGAAGGCGCGCAAAAAGCCCATTTGGTGGGTATTACGTTTCATCGCTTTAGTCTTTTTGTTTTTTCGTAGGAGAATCTGATGTAATTCTTTGCTCATCTTAGGAAGGCACGTTGATTCCGTCCCCGGTTGCTTAAAGTGGGGCTTTGATCTTGTAAAAAATGAATATACTTTTAAGTAATTTTTGTCTTTTCGGTCCTTTTTTCAAAGGAGGGCAACTTGAAGTGTTTTTGGAGTTTGTGTAAATTAGGAAATATTGTCCTAGGTAAGGGTGACATTGATGTCCCTGCTTAAGCATAGGAAAGTTGGGCGGTTTGACGTTGTTCTAGGTCTGGCCACTGGAACGGGTGGCCTAGCATCACGATCTTACGATCTCTGAGAGCTTAGTCTAGTTTGGCAGGAATTACTGCTTGTGTTTCCTCTGGCCTTCATGCTAAGTTAGGTCCTGCCGAGAGGTATTGTCAACTTGCTGGAAGACCAGGAGCTCGCTAGGGCTCTGTTTCACAATCTTCACCCCAAAATAGAACAATAAACGATCAAAACGGGTGGACGCTTCATGCTTCCGACGCAACATTCCGACCCAGTAGCGCAGCACGTTCCCTCAGGTTAGTATTTACTCCCGGTGATTGTGAAGGGAAACAGTAGTCATTAATTGGAATCAAATGATCAAGTGTAACAAGAGCAAGAAGTGAGTCGCAGGGACTATCGTCCCAGATCAGACTGCTGAAGCAGTGCCACTACTCGAACGTTTGGAACCTGTACCAATAAATGTTGGTCCAGGTTGGTTCAATGGAACAAGATGCGGCACACCCCTATCGAAAGTTAGGTCGGCACCGAATGAGTCGTAACCTCTACCTGGCTAGATGGTGAAACTGCCTGACTTGACGCCATGCTAACCAACCAGAGTATCAAGTACCACCTTAGCGACCCCTCATATTCTTTTTTATTCGCTTCCAAGGAAACCCCCTTTTATTCGACAACAATGACGAATCTTGTAACCCTCTGGTCAAAATTCACTGCAACGTATTGACCGTTTAAATACAAAGACCTTTATCATACTTATTTACTAATTATGTGCAAGAAACTTAAATACAGCTACTAAATGCAGAACAGGCAGGCGCATGGCGGAGTGGACTTCCCGAGCATCGTCTAGTCACACCAAAGTGCAGACAAATGAGTCAACAAATATTCTTAAAATCTTCTTGCCTGACAAGACTGGGTGCCAAAGGTCGAGAGGTAGCGCGTGCGACCCGGAGACAGGCCCAGTGCACCCCAGACATTGAGAGAGCCTGCCTGGTCAGGGCACACTAAAAGCACCCCAGCCCTAACCAACGGCCGCCAAGCCACGTCTCCCACGGGTGAAACAACTCAGTGGGGAAGGTCCCAATACGGCGCGTTGCCAATAAAAGGACTGAACCCCGAAAATACCCACATTCCCCATGAGTAACAGTTTGCACGAGGAAATGCACCTAAAACCGGTTGTAAGAAGCTTGGCTCACCAGCGTCCCACATTCGTGGCTAACGTAAGAGGCCCTGAACAAGTTGAGAGGGGCAGCTGAAGCCACAATTCTCCAGCTATTAGTAGCCTAAGCCGTAATGATGCCACTAACAACAAGCGCTAGCACAAACGTTTTGCGCTGAATCTGAGACCCCAAAAGAAGGTACGATGCAAAGAAACTAGAAGGTACACCAACATCAGCACCCAATGATTTATATTCCACCGCCCCTATGCAAAATGCATGAATCTACGTTAAACCAACCGGCCGACAGCGGCTACGATAAGTCTGGACAAGAACCAAGGTTCCACTATGAACATATTCAAAAAATTTACATGAGCTTAATGCCCAGCTCTCTTCGCTCTGAGACGACGGTCGCGCTCCTCCAGAACGGAGAGACGGATACCCTTCCCTTTCGGCAGTGAAACCCAAGCCTTGTTGGATTTGCCGATGATGAAGACATTGTTCAAACGGGTGACGAACTGATGGCCAGTATTGTCACGGACGTGAACCATCTCTACTGAGCCAGGATGACGCTCCCACTGGGTAATAACGCCAACGCGACCCAAGTTATGACCGCCAGTGATCATGCAGACATTGCCTAATAGAAAACGAGTTAGGCAAGAAATTTTGCCTCACCAGGTTCAAACTTGATAAAACTAAGAACCCTCCCAGTGGTAAGATCGATTTGAACGGTGTCGTTGACTTTGATTTCGGGGTCAGCGTAACGGATAGTACGACCGTCGTGAGTCACGATATACGGGACCTTGCCCGGACCAACCAAAACCTTGCGAATTTTGCAGAGCTTATATTTTGCTTCCTCTGGGTGAATACGATGAATAGCGAAGCGTTTCTTTGTATCGTAGATCAGACGAAAGTGTTCGTTGGTACGGTCAATTGAAATGACATCCATAAAGCCAGCCGGATACTTCTTATCAGTACGAACGCGTCCGTCGACCTTCACAAGACGCTGAGCAAGAATCTTCGTGCACTCATCGTAGGTAAGAGCGTACTTAAGACGATTTCTCAAAAAGATGGATAGCGGAAGACACTCGCGAAGTTTATGGGGACCAGTGCTCGGTCGAGGGGCAAAGTTGCCACCCAACTTATCAAGCATCCAGTGCTTTGGAGCATTTAGGCGCTTTAAATGCTTACGGTTTCCTCTAACCTAGACGAGAAATACCTGTTGGAAGATACAGCAACCAGAAAAAAAAACAAAACGCGCATCTCACTTACGCCCATGTTGGCAGACAAGTAGAGAGCGATGCAATCAAAAAGTGACTCAAACAAACAAGTCCCATTGCATCTCAGATGAAATAGGATAAAAAAATAATAAATAAATTAAAAAAAGCCCATTATTATCTTAAATCTTAATTTAAGCACAGCTTCCTTGCCTGTCTGACGATTAATTTTCAAGAATTCAAAGTAATTATACTATGTTATAGCTGGTTCAAAAATCCTATAATAGCGCTCTTATTCCTCGGTAGTGTTATGGGCAAGTATAATTCAATAGCGCTCAAATATAATAGAACTAAAGATATGTCTGGGATTTGGGTCTGAAAACCTTAAACTGCTAGTTTTAAGTTAAGTATTTTTTTGCTAAATACAAGCCCTTTGTCGTCTTTTTTCTCTGTAACAATATTTGGACTGGGTATTTGGCGATTCCTTTACTATAGCTTGACACCGGCTTCGGATTTAGGAACTGGGTTGTTGATTAGGCATGGATTTAGGGAGGGTTGTGAAGGGGAACTGACAGAAAATTTTCAGTTTTAAAAAAGGAGTAGATTATCCCCATTACCTATAGCACTAGTGGCACAGCATCTACGAATTAATAGTCCCACTTCCAAGTGGTCGTGTTTACACCACCTTTGGCTAGTGTGCATGTTCCTTGTTGTGGCATATTTTCTTTGCCTCAAAACACTTTATTCTCCGATGGTACTAGTAATAATCATTTTAAGATAAAATATGACAGTTTCGCAAAGTTATCTGCTTGTTTTTTTTTAAGAATTTGGGGATTATCAACAGGAAAGTACTCTATTTTTTAATGTACGAGGTCACTATAGAACCGTGTCAAGCGGTTTGCAAATAATTTCTAGTACTTCATCACGAATTCGTCTCATCTCGCTAGTATTGTCTGGTATCCGAGGCGTCTTCAAATTAGATGAGGCTGCCTGGAAGAGGCATTAGACCAACGCCCCGCAGAATGGCATCGTACTCAAGCTCCTTGAGCCGAGATAAAACGCTCTTATATGTCTCCTTCTAAATGTATCTATCGGAGCAGGCATGGCCATTATTTCAATTACTCGTGCTATTTTCTAAAGCAGCCTTTTCTCTCATCACCTCTCTAAATTGTCTTATTTGCATTCACAAACCGCTTTAGTTCTCTATTTTCTTAAACCACTTAGCTATCTGCTGGTATCCCGCTTTTTTCTAATCAAGATCACCACAGACTCATACGATTTCACCAGTCACGTGGTTGCAATCACCCATACTTGAATTAGCTGCAGTGTCTCGACCGTAATTAGTTGTAACCGGTTCCTCCCTCCCTCATCTTGAAATTCTGATATTAAGGCTTGTAAGTGTAAAAAAACAGGTTTGTTATGTACACCAGTGACATCTGCTCTTATGAAAGGGTAATTTTAAAAGGCGTTTTTCATTCTTACTGGTTCCTGTTGTTTTCTGCTGTGTGACTGCATAGAAAAGCAAGAAAAATTTCAATACAAAATCAGTTGAATTAAGACAAATGCCTCACTGTCTTGAGAAAACTCTCAGTGATGTCGTCTGATGCTTCATCGGGTATATTGCATTGTGATGCCTTGTTGGATGCGCTATCACACTGCGTTTTCAAGTGACGCGACGATAGCCAGGACTCCACCCACCTATCACTTTATAATAACTCGTCATTTCAATGCAAGCACAGTTAATGCTATGAAACAGAGGGGGAATTTCAACGCAGCCTTTACACATTTTTGATGAACCCTGCGTATATAAAAGCAGTGGGTAATCAAGAGCCAAGGATAATATTGCGTTTACTTCATTTACTTACTTCCACACGATTTGAAACTAAAATCAGTCACATTTGAAGTCACTTCCTCAAAAAGTGTACTGAAATCACAGCAAAAGCGCATTCCACCCATCCCGATTAGAGACTACGCTACAGGCTTAACTCCCCAGTGGTGTTTTCGCCCTCTTCCTCTCTTTCAGTCTCCGAACCCCAAGCGGATCTGCGAAACCCCGAGAATTTAATTATCCCCATGACACCAAGAAGAGACCAATTAATGCGCCAGATCTACAGGACCACTAGCCAGCACATCGAAATTGGAAGCAGTAGGCTTGATGATGTGATATTTTCGTTGCCACTTATTCCTATCAGCAGTACATACTACCCTGGAAGTCAGATTTGACACAGTAGCATTGAAATGTCTAGCAATATTCGACTTGAAGATAGTCAAGAGGAGGCATTATCCCTCTCCGCGGCTAAGTTGAAACATCATGCAATCGGTTATTGAACTCAAATAAATGACTGAAACTAATAGCTAAAGGCAGAGCTGCTTTCCCTGCGACCTGAGCTACCATACCAGAAAGAGATGTTGCCCCGCTTTACTGTAATGGGGGTTGTATTAACATTAAGGCATCGACAGATGAATGTCTGAGAGTGATAACGTTCTTTAAAAGAGATAAAAGGGGCAGTAGAAGGGGGTAGAAAAGAAACGTGATTATGGGGCAAGAGAGACTACTTGGTGGCACAAGTCGTTTCTGTCCTAAGAAAAGGGCGCTCAACGAATATCCGTGATGCAAGCCTCATCGATCTTCTTTCTAATTTGGTGGTAGGCGTTTTTGTACTTATTCCATTCTATTGCCAACTTGTCCAACATATCGTTGGACCCAGGGGAGCGGTTGGTCATTGACTTGCTCTCTTCTAGAAGTTTTTGCAATTCAGTTTCGGCATCGTTCAAATCCTTCATCAGCTTCTGGTTTTCTGGCTCCGATTCGATTTTTTTCCAATAGCGATCTCGAGCGGCCTCGTATTCGTCGAAAGTGACCAGCTTGAACCAGTGACCACATCTGCAGCGAGCTGGTAAACCCCTATAGAGCAGCAGGTAGCTGATGTGATGAGATTCTTCATGGCCTTATAAAAGTATCAAACATTCAGCCAAAATCCAATACATCCAATGAAATGAACAAAAGTATGACCCACAAATGCATCCAACGATGCGTCTCTCCTGATCAAACGGTATCAGGTTTGGAGCCTCCTTAGTGGTTGGTCCACCACGCCTAACCTTAAACTCATAATAATTTACCTATGAAAGATTAAAATCAAGTACGCAGACACATACATCAGCTTCTTCTATTTGCTCTAACAACTCCTTCTGGATAGTGCTGAGGGTTTTAGACGGTTCATGATCTAGAGGAAGAACAGCTGACGCATGAGGGAATGAGAACACATACAGGCGTCACCCCGGAGGATGTCATTTGTGGCTATGAAATTCCGAACCCGAGCGTATATGCTATCTGGTGGGGGGTGGCAGCTAATGGTATTGAAAGCCCGAGTTCTAAGGGCCGTCTGAATAACCCGCAAAGCCATACCATACGTGGCAGATAAATCTCACACTTTATAGCCTATCTTATCGATATCTATAGTGAGCATGGTCCGCATATACTATCCCACGTTAGATCGAAAAAATAATGTTGCATATAAGTTTAAAACGTCTCTGTTTATTTCAGTTAGGACAAGCGACTTGTTGGTTTTAGATTTATTAAGATTTGTTTTTTGTAGAACACCATAAATTATAGACGAAAGTTTGCGCGATAAAGGCCAGCAGTTTTTAAGCTCTAAAATCATGAACTCAGAATGCAAAAAAATTAAAAATTGGAATCATCTCAAAATACTGCTTAAGGTAGATACACTGTTGTACGATGGTTGTTAAACTCCCTAATTATGATGATGAGCCACTTAACTTGGTCGTTGCACTACGTCGGGTGGGCTGATTACCAAGCCGTACCAGTAGCCCACATGCATTCTGCGTATCGAATGTAAATATATATTCTGCCCTAGTATTATGGCTTCCTTTGCCTTCAGGGAAGTCTCGGGGCGCTGCATTGGCGGCAGCGGGAAGAGAACTAGATCCTAAAGGACATTAGCCCTAATTTCTATGTGGAGCGAGACTCCTCGGTCTCCGCTTCCCGATTCCTAGCGTTCCTAGGCAAGCCCGGTTGGTTTGCTTTGGACATCTTTATTAAAGACGACAAGATGTATAGGGAAAATACAATATTCAAGAAGGAGGGGAGCCGCAGTCACTAGGTAAGGGAGAGGGCGATCCAGTTACAAGGTTTGAATTTTCTCCTTGCCTCCTCCCTGAAAGGCAAACTCAAACAACATAAGTATTACATAG